GACCCCCCCTTTCGCGACCGCCTTCCCTCAGCTGCCACGTCTTTGCCCGATTCCGACTCCTGCTCCGACTGTCCCGTCCGTCGCGCCGCTGTCTCCTCCCCCGGACTTGTACTTCCTCTCCCCTGGAGCTCTCCATCCCCTCCTCTCGCCATCTTCTTCGGTCGCGCCCCTCCCGCATCGGGTTGCGTCTCTCCTTGCCTTCGCTGCCCCGCTCCACCGAGCCATCGCTCCGAGGAGACGCTCCGCTCGGTCGGTGGACCCTTCTCCGATAACCCTCCCCGCGCCCGTCCTCTCGCATACCCCCAGACCCTAGGCTCCCCTCGCGTCTCCTTCTTACCCCTCGCTGACTCGCCTCTCTTTTGCTTTCGGCCCGACGCCTCTCACTGAGGTGGTATCCTTTTTCATTCTCCCGCATTGATGTGTCCTCCGCGTGCTTAAGCACGAGGTGGTAGTTTTCTAAGCGAGGAGGGGGGGGAGAATGGGAGGGAAAGAAGAAACGTCGTTCACAAGCTTTGCCAGCGGCTTCACGCCGATTCAGCCCCTGCGGCACCAGGCAAACTCCCATGGGCCGTTCATGCCTTTGCCTCACGGCAATCCACCCAATCCAAGAAAATCAATTACCGATCCCGCGATGTTCAAGCATGGCAACTATCTCGGTGAAATAACTGGTAACTTCCTCCGCGGGATGGTGCACCAGGAAGTCCGCTAAAGACTCATGGCGACCCTCGATGGTAATCGCTTCCTCTACTCGAAGGGTGGATTTCAAAAGGGAGAAAGAGAATGGGAATGGCGAATCGTTGATTCGGAAGCCTCGTCGGCCGCTAACTCCCGCGCCCGTGCAGCGAGAGATTCGTGCCATCGACACAGCTCATTTCCCGCGCATGCGCGCATGAAACGTCTAAGCCACAGTCGAGGCTCTTAAGCACTCTCCTGCGTCCCCGGCACGTGCTCTCCGTGCCGGGAAGATGCTAAGCCCCTCGCTTACCCATACACCCTTCCAGTCGGTCCCAAACATGGGTGTCGGTAATGGAGAGCCGCCGTGCCATGCTTCGCGGGCAGGATGGTGTCGAGGGATGCCACCAGAGCCCTGTGTGTCCTTCAGTGTGAGGGACTGGAGAGGGTTAGGGAGCGGGCTCGCCATTAGTAAGCAAAGCATGGCTTGTGGAGCGCAGACACAAGCCCCGAGGCTTCAAGTCCGGCGAGTGGGCCAGTGCTAAATGGCAAAAACATGCTGGCACCTCCCGCGCACACCGTGCCAAGCCCCCCCCTGCTGTAGAGCATAAGAAGTGTCGGAACGAGCTCATGGAGTGTGCGCGCCTCCGGCCTGGCAGCGGGGCGGGATAAATTGCTTTAATCTGGGTCGATTGCCACTACTTTGACCCCTCGCTCTCTGTCTCTCGCTCCCAGCCCCGTCACTCCTGCCTCGTAGGGGCTCAATTCCACCGCATTTCTGTCAACTCAGGAGGGAAGGACATCTGTACAGCGCTGTCTTTGTTGGCTTCTCACATTTTTCCAGTTGTCCAGGTGCCAGCTTTTACTTTGTCTCTGCTACACCCTTCATTTTGTCCTTTGTTCCATTTCAGTTCCATCCTGAAACAACTTTCACAGCTTGCTCGGCCCCCCGCGTCCTCACAGGCAAGAAGCGCCTCCCAAAATAGTGGCAGGCCACTGTAGCCACTCGTTACTGCTGTATTAGCATCATCATTTGGAGCTGTGGACACTACAACCCAGCGCCGATATTGCAACGATAGCAGGGGGCCACAGCCGTTCCTCTCTTCCTCCCCCGCCTTCCTGTACGGTCGGGACTCTGGGAGTTTCTGGAGGCCCTTGACTTTGAAAGGGTCACCGATAGCATCATTTCAATCCAATCTTGACGCAGAGGCCCGAGCAGCAAGCATGGGAGACTTCTCGCGCATCCAGAAGGAGCTCAGGGAGTGCGCCAAAGATCAGAAGTCCGGGGTCACAGCAAGGTGAGTCCATCTAGGGTGCCTGAGGCATACATGGCAACGGTCAAAACGAATGTGTACGTGCTGGTGGGTAGAGCCTTGTCGTCTGGTGCTTGTTTGCGGGCGTCAGTCAGGGCGCGATTGCCGACACGAACCCTCCTCTCGTGCTCCGGACTCCCCCCCTCTCACACGTAGGCTCTAGCCTCAACCACCTCTCAGAGTCTCTCCCTTACAGCCCCGGAAGCTCGAACATCAATCATCTCTCTGACTTCCTCCCTCTGACAGCCCCGTAGGCTCTAGCCTCAACCACCTCTCTGGCACCATCACGGGTCCCGACGGGACCCCCTACGAGAAAGGCGTCTTCAAGATCGACATCCAGATCCCAACCTCCTACCCCTTCGAGCCCCCCAAGATGAAGTTCGTCACCAAGATTTGGTGCGTGCGCGACGGCTGAGATGGCCCCGTGTTCCATGTTCATGATAAAAAGACGATAAAGCGACTGAGCGTCTGCCCCTGCCCCTCCTCCCAGGCACCCGAACATCTCCTCCCAGTCGGGAGCGATATGCCTGGACATCCTCAAGGACCAATGGTCGCCCGCCCTCACCATCAAGACCGCGC